ATACAAAAGTGAAATAGATATTGCATTATGCTCAACTCATGTAGAGGTGATTTTCAGGTTGAGCATAGTAGAGGAGGAAGATAAACTTAAAGTTTTATTGGCTTATTTTGGTCTGGAGATATTAGATGAGTTGGAGGTAGATAGATATATCCCCAAATAAATTCAAAATTGAACCCCAGCTCGACTCGGATCACGGACAACCTTTACAGATCTCTATATACATCCTCTCGCCCTTATAACTAATGCAACCCATCATAAAACCAAAAATCTGTCTGGATCTAAATAAGGTCATTTCCCACCTTTTCTAAAATTTCCGTTCCTTCTATTCTTTGCCATCTAATCTCCAATTCAACAATTATCTACTATTATTAGAAGGGATCCAACAAGGTGATACTCTGGGTTTGATGCACATCTAATTCATCGCTGATAAAATACACTGCGCCACCCCCCTCTAACCAAAAGAAGTCACAAGGGAAACTGAACTCTAGTCTATTACTTCATCTCGGTTCCCCAATTGGTGGTTTGGAATTCATCATTCACTTCTTCACAAATGCTACATATCTCTTACTTCATCCTAAAAACTCCACCAAGCATCTTTCTTATCATCAAGATTTTTTAATCTTATAAACTCTTATTATGTTCCTAAAATTCTTTACGCTCTTCGATCCATCTCAATTTTCCAAATTTTCTGATTCATTAAAATAAGTAGAAGCTTCCGTCAAATCTCTTGTTAAAGAATCCTTAATCTCCTATTTAATCATAACTCATGGATACATGAATCACTTAATGCAAGCTTGGGGATATCAGCCTAAGTTCCCCCTAACCCTTTTTATCAGTGGATTCATCATTTCCGGTCTCTCATCTGATCTATCTATTCGCCAGCTTTCCCCCTTTGCAGACCTCTTGTTAGCTGAAACCTAAATTATTTGGAACAATTCCGTAGTCTCAGACACTTTACGATCACTTGTTACAGGATATTCTAATCAACGAAGGCTCCGTAGCCTATCTAAAATTGAGCCTTCACAAATGATCTCACAGTTTTTACCACTTGAATCAAGGGACCAAGAGTTTCTTATTACTCTACAACAACCTCGATTTGCTATGAAGATAAGCTAAGATCTGCGAATGGATTAAGGCTCAACTGCGAAATTGTTCTACCCTACTAATGCAAACATTGTAAAACTAATATAGAAAGAAAAGGCAGGAATTGCCTCTTTTGATAAGACCGTTTCATGGCACATCAAATTTAACGATATTTGCGTGCACTTAAATCCGCAGGCATTCTATTTAGACCTGAACCAACAAGAAAATTTAGAACCGATAGACATCAGGAAGGAATATCCTCAATACATTGCTCAAGAGGTCAGCTTCTAGTTTGTGGCTTCACCTGCATTGATTCAAGTGCACTATCCAACCACAATGTCGATGTTCTTGCCCTTGCAGAAACCCTGAAAATATTACGAAGTACAGCTCCATAGATCCTTCTTACTCATTCATACCAATCGCCTGCTCCATTCTTACCACTTTTGGCAACAAAGTTGGGGAGGCGGATTTGCCAAAAACTGATCAGCCTACGGAACCTGTTTTCACAACAAAGGCTTCCCCTACCGCAATTATGTGTTAATTTTTTTTCCATCTAATAAGTTACTATGCCTCCTTATATTTTCTTTCCTTCTCCTTCCTTGTTTCTGTTTATTATCATTTTTTTTTAGATCTTTATCCTTTTATTCTCATATACATTTCTCGCCTTTATTAATTTTGCCATGGAAAAAAAAATAGTTATATGTGTTAAACGCTGATTTGAACCAATTTTTAAAAACGGCTAACTCAATATTTTAGCCAGGAAAATATTGTCTAAGCCCCGAGATTTCGTTAAGAGATGTTCAAAAGTTTGTGCCACCTATGGGCAAAATCTTAAGACTTGCATAATATTTTTCCTAATTTAGAAATCGGCTCAAAATGAGCCTTTTAACAACAGTACCTTTCCTTTTTTATAATATATTTATATTTAGTTATATATATTCAAATAAAGAAGCAACTGAAAGAAAGAAGGAAGAAAAAAAACTACATTAGCAAAAATGAGGAAATCCAAATGGAAAATTAACAAAATAAAGGAAATCAAAATAATTTATAATGTTTAAAAAGAATAATTATTTAACAAAATTCAAAATGGATTGTGGCACACTTATTGGGGAATAATGACACTTTACAAGTTTTGAAATGATGCATTCTTTTTTCAAGTTTAGAAATATTTTGCAACGTAAATAACTAACATATATGTATGAATACCGCAGTGTTAAAAG